ATCCACTCACCTCAGCCTCCCAAAGTGCGGGATTACAGGCTGAGCCACCAAGCCCGGCCAGAGCTTTCTACTCATGTGGTACCTACTCCTCCTGTGCTCCCAGAGACTAGCACATAGTAGGTGCTCAATGAACACTGGAAAGAAAGATCACAAGGCTGGACGCAGTGACTCATGCCTGTCATCCCAGCACTTTGGGAGGCCGAGGCGGGAGTATTGCTTGAGCCAACAAGTTCAAGACCAGCTTGGGCAACATAGTAGGACCTCATCTCTACAAACAAAAATCAACAAATAAGCCTGGTGTGGTGGTATGTGCCGGTATTCCCAGCTACTCGGGTGGCTGAGGTGGGAGGATCACCTGAGCACAGGAGAAGAGGCTGCAATGAGCCATGATTGTGCCACTGCACTCCAGGCTGGGTGACTGAGTGAGACCCCAATTCAAAAAAGAGGGAGAGCGAGAGAGAGGGAGGAAAAAAAAGAAATTACAAGGCCAGGCATGATGGCTTATGCCTATGATCCCAGCACTTTGGAAGGCCAAGGCAGGAGAAACCACGCGAAGCCAGGAATTTGAGACCAGCCTGGGCACATAGCAAGACCCCCATCATCTCTACAAAAAATTTATTTTAAAAAAAAGAGAAAGATTCCAGGGACCCACCAGAGACCTGCGACTCAAAAGCTCCCGTCTTCCCAGCAGCAAGATTCAGGAAAGGAGAAAGGGAGAGGTGGGGGGAATACCATGCCCCGATCCTAGCAGGAGGGGCTGGAAGCACTTTCTCAGTGCAGGGCACAGCCTGGAGCCCGTGGTGGAAGTGGATGTGGCGTGGAGGTTTGTGCACTTGTGGGAAGGCGTGAGGTGGGGGCAGGGGCAGGGCTGGGTCACATGGCCAGCAGGAAGCACTTGCTTTGTCAAAGGAGGTGTAGTTTCTGCCCCTCTGGCTGCGGGGGGGTTGCTTTGCTTGGAGCACAGGGAGGGCAGGGGATTTGTGGGTTTCAAGGAACCCCAACTTCTCTGACTTTCAAATCTGTCCTGCAGTTCCTCGTCTCAGGGATCCTGGTGATAATCATGGATTTTTCTGTTTCTAAATCGTATCTGGTGAGTGGGTGTGCTGGAACTCTCCCCTTCCCGCCCAGGCCTGGGGTGACTCTGTCCCGGGAGTCCGTGTGTAGGGGTGATTTGGGGTGGCAGTTCTCACAGGCTCGCTGGGAGCAGGCTCCTGGCTTGAGGATGGCAGAGGGCGTTCGCACAGAGGGGTCCAGATGTAGACGGGCTGATAGATCTGGCTGTATGCCTTGGCCTGCGTGGCTACCTTGAGTGTCCCGAGAGAGAGCGGCGAGAGATTAAGAACACAGACACAAAGACATAAAGGAAAACTGAGGCGGGGGCTGGGGGGAGGGGGTTGGACACGACACTTTCCTCTGATGGGGGAGAAGTGGCCCCGAACTGGCTCACCACGTTTATTTTCTAATCAAGCACAAGGGAGGTTGGAAGGGATTCAAGGTCTGTGAGGGAGCGATAACAGAATTTTGTTGCTACCTAAAGGTGAACTGTTTCGCGGTTATCTGGTTGTCGCTAAGGCTTTATCTGTGCTATGTGCACCTGGACGTGTGGGCATGAGACACCGTTCGGTGTAGCAGGCTGCATCCCTTGCCTTTGGCTGGGATGCAAGCTACCAAGCGAGACCTTGCCTTCGCTTGGGGCCTTTACTCAAGGCCTACCACAGTGACTGTGCTCGTCGGCTCCCTGCATCACATCTGCTGTGGGAGGAAAGGAAGCCACATCTGAACCTTCTGTCTCCCCAGTAAGGCAGACAAGGAGGAATTGGCACCCGGGAACCCCAGCCTTTCCTGTCTGGCACAGATTTTGCTTTCTCCCAAATCTACTGAGTTTCTGTCTTGGCCCCTACAGGCCCTGTGTGCCCTGGCCCGCTGCTGGGTTTCCATCCACTTCTCATCCCTAAGAGCCAGGCAGATGGGACTGTCTTCCCTGTTCTGCCTGTGCTGGCCCCTGCCTGAGCACCTCACCTTCTCTGCACGCCTTCAACTCACTTCTGCCAAGCGCAGTGTCACACCTTTGAGAGGCTAAGGCAGGAGGATCACTTGAGCCTGCGAGTGCGAGACCAGCCTGGGGAACATAGAGAGACCCATATCTTTAAAAAAAAAATTTTTTTTTAAAATAGCAGGTGTATGTGTTATCCCATGCCTGACGTCCCAGCTACTCAGGAGGCTTGAGGTGGGAGGATTGCCTGAGCCCAGGAGGTTGAGGCTGTGGTGAGTTGTGATCATATCACTGCACTCCAGCCTGGGTAACAGTGAGACCCGGACTCAAATACAAAGAGAGAGAGAGAGAGAGAGAGAGAGAGAGAGAGAGAGATACACACACATTTGTATTTTTATTGTTGTTGTTTTTGAGTCAGAGTCTCACTCTGTCGCCTTGACCTGCTGGGCTCAGGCTATCCTTCCACCTCAGCCTTCCAAGTAGCTGGAACTACAGGTGTTCACCACCACACCCAACTAATTTTTTGATTTATTGTAGAGACGACGTCTCGTCATGTTGCTCAGGTTGGTCTCTATCCCCTGAGCTCAGACAATTCTCCACCTCCCAAATTCTGGGATTGCAACCTTGAGCCACCACACCCAGCCCACATTTGTGTTAAAAATTTTTTTAGCCGGGCTTGGTGGCTTAGCCTGTAATCCCGTGCCTTTGGGAGGCTGAGGTAAGTGGATTGCCTGAGCCCACGGATTTGAGACCTGCCTGAGGCGGAAGGATGGCTGGAGCCCAGCAGGTGGAGGCTGCAGTGGCCGGGTGCGGCCACTGCACTCCAGTCTGGGTGACAGAGTGAGACTCCAACTCAAAAAAAAAAAAATTTTGTTTAAAGGCAGCTTGTATGCCTTGCCCTGCCAGAGAGCTTCCCTGCCCCTCCACGGCTGGCTTCTGTGTTCCCACAGCTCTGTGTTCTTACCTGTCTCTACCATACGTCAGGCCCTGTGTGGGCTGCATGTATCTAAGCATCTTTGTGGGCCAGAGGGAGCCCAGGCTGGCACAAAGTAGGCACCCAACAGGAGGCTGGAGAGGTGGCCATAGATGGATCGTGGAAGAAACCTCCCTGCACACTATACTTATGTCATGGCCTCAACCCACAGACGATCTTCCCATGCCTCCTCACCCTCTGCCCCAGAAGCCCTGGCCTAGTCCGGCCACATTTGTGCCCTCTGCCCAGGCCTGGATGTGGCTGTCCCCTGCTTTCTCGGGGACATAGAGAATGGGAAGGTGATTGTGCAGGTTACCCGGCAGAGGCAGGAGATGCTTGTCAAGGACCTGCCCATGCCCCAGACCTCACCCTCCTGTGAGGTCCAATCATAGGCCTCCCCCTTCTGAGCGCAGGGACCCCCTCCTTGCAAAGAAATGCATTCTACCGTAAGCGACTGTAGAGTCCAGGTTCATAGTCTTTCCTCAAAACAAGGGTTTGCATTGGGCAAGAGGCCCTCAGAACCATGCTTAACCCAAGAGGATGACAAGTACAGACACTTCAGGGATCGTGGGGGTCGGGGAAAGGGAGGCAAGACATCAAAATTTATTGGGGAGAGACCGCATCCGGACTGCTGCCGTCCTTTCCCATGCGGAAGGGGCTGGGTGAGGGCTGTTTGGGTGTTGAGTCCTTGGGTAGGTGGCTTCTCTGATGCGGGGTAGTTGGGGCTGTCTTAGAGAGGGAGACAGCCATGAAGCAGCCCTGGCCGCAAAGCTCTGTGGATGCAGAGGCAGCTCTCAGGGCTCCCAATTTGTCCTCGGGGGCCAGCAGCTCAGATCCTCACATGGGGTGAGGGCCTCAGGCCCAGAGACGAACAGAGCCTTTCCTGAGGCCACAGAGGAAGCACCTGGCAGGCCTGGGAGGAGGACCTAGACCAGGTCTCCATCTTTCGGGGAGTATCACCTTTGTGTGTCTCCTATAGAAGGTGTTATGCCTCGTGATGAACCTCACCAGCTTCCTGTGCACGCTGGCTGGCCTCTTCGTCATTACCAAGGATCTCTTTCTGGAGAGCCCGTTTGAGTCCCCGATCTGGAGAACGTACCCCAGCTCCACGGTGAGTGCCCAGGCCCCGAGGGCTCTCGACTCCAGGAAGGCACGGCCTTGGACTTGGCTGAGAGAACGTGTCCAGCTCTCGGAAGACGTCCCCTGGAGCCCAGGCAGGCACGGGCAGCTAAGCCCTCCGCCGATCTGCCCCTGACCCTCCTGAGGCATGGTGGGAGGCGGATGTCAGTCAGCATCAGGGAGCTGGGTGGGTCCTTGAGTCACCGAATCCAGTCTCGCTTTTGCACATGGGGAAATTGAGGTCAGAGAGAGGAGGGACCTGTCTGAGATCGAGCAGTGGCTTGGCTGCAAATCCAGGACCGCAGCCTGGAACTGCAGGTCCCTGAGCCCGGGTGCTAACCACGGTGCCCCTGGTGGCCCCTGTTATCTGGGAGCCTGCCAGCAGCTTGCAGAACTGGCCGAGTACATTGTTACCCCCATATTATGGAAGTGAATACTGAGGTCCAGAGAGGCTAAGTTAGTGAACCGAGGCCACACAGCAAGTCAGGAGTGCCCTGAGGGCTCACGGCTGGGTCTGTGACTCCAAGGCTAGTGCCCTTCTTATCACACTGCAGTTGCCTTCTGAGGCAGAGGGTGGATTAACCATTCCAAGCTGGGTGCCCCGGGCCAGGCTCCAAAGGTTCTGACCGGGAAGGTTTGCTGTTCCCCATCTTTCCCAGCACATGAAGCACATACGCACTTGTGCATGGATGCATGCACGCCCCCCTACCACACGCTTGTGACCCCATGAGAGTCACCCAGCTGCACGGCGGTCTCAGCCCAGCTGTTCCCCTCCCCTACTGTGAAAGATGCTTCTTCCCTCTGGGCCTAGGTGTCCCCATCTGCCACGTAGACTTGGACCAGGTGACCCTAAGGCCACCTTCAGTCTCACTAGGGACCCATGAGCTTCCCCAGCCCTTAAACGTTAGGCAAACACTCGCTGAGGACCCGAGCATGCCAGGTGTAAGGCAGTGACCCAGATGGACCCAGTCCCCCCCACTGGGCATGCCCCGCTGCCCTCTGCTGCAGACCTGCCCCCCACTCACCCTGCTGGACCCACTGAGGGGTGCAGACCCCAGCGAGGCCTCCCCTCCCTCCCACTCAGGTCCACATCCAGAGGCTGGAACTGGCCTTGCTCTGTTTCACCTTCCTGGAGCTCTTCCTGCCGGTGTCCACGGCTGTCATAGCCTGGAGGGGGGACTGCCCGTCTGCAGAGGTAAGGCCCTTCCTCAAGAGCCGGGGACAGCATAGGGCCAGAGGGACGTCAGGCAGGGGTCACAGAGGAGCATGTCTCCCATTTGTCAGGCTGCTGAGCCCCTTACTAAGTGGCAGCCCACGGTTCAGTGGGAAAGCCAGGGTGTGTGGCGAGAAAGGAGGCCAACTTAGGATGGAAGGATGGGCCACCGAGAGAAACTGCCAGGGGCACCCAGAAAGCAGGCCGCGGCACTCCCAGCTCTGAAGGCCCCTGGGAAAGCACGTGGGGGGGGGCCTGTGGAGAGTGTGCAGGACTCGAACTTGGGGAGGCCCTTCCAGGAGAGAAACGGCAGAAGCGCAGGCCAGGAGACAAGACAGGGAAGGGGGAAAACGGGGAAGGTGGGCACCCTGCAGGGAGTGTGGTGTTTAGCTGTAATGAGAACAAAAAGTTAGAGGCAGAGTCATAAAAGACTGACCATTTAAGGCATCCCAGGTACTTTGCTAAGCACTGTCTATTGATTGATTGATCGGTCTATCAACTGATTGATCAAAGATAGATATAGATAGGCCAACGCATACATAAATATAGCTTCATTTAACAGTCTCTTCTCAACAACTCTTTGAGGTAAGTACTTACTTCCCGTTCTACAGATAAGTAAAGTGAGGCTTAGAGAGATCACATCACGTCCCAAGGTCAAACAGACAACAAGGAAATCCCAGAACTCAGCCCAGGGTGTGTCTAACCCACAGCCTAGACCTTGTCTACTAGTGCGGATGGAGAATGGCAGATGGGAGCCATTTTAAAATAGAAGACTAATCTCTCCCCACCCCAGTGACCCTGACCTGAAGCGACCTCCAAGGCTTATTCCTTTAAAGGGAAAAAAACTGCAGATTATGATCTCCACTGTAGAACACTGTTAAAACATGTGTGTCAAATCCCCCATAATCTGATTGCGTTCACGTCAGTGTTCACCATGTACTGAGTGTTCACACAACACAGATATGAGTTTGTGGCCGCTGAGTTTTATTTAACATCAAGCAAACAAGTTGTCCTGATTAATGCCCGGCCATCTGGCAGGCATCTGTGAGGCTGTCAGCTGAATGGGGGCCTTGAGTCGCTGAAGCCAACCCCACTTTTAAGATGGCATGCCAGCATTTTGGGAGGCAGAGGCAAGAGGATTGCCTGAGTCCGGAGTGTGGGGCGAGAGAGAAGGCCAACTCAGGGCAGAAGGGTGGGGCCACCAGAAAGGAAACACCAGGGGTGCCCAGAAAAACAGGTCATGCCACTTCAGCTCTGAAGGCCCCTGGGAAATCACATGAGGGAGACAAATGGAGACTGGGCAGGGGTTCGAGACGCTTCTGGGCAACTTGTCGAGACCTCATCTCTACAATAAATCAAAAATTAGCCGGGCATGGTGGTGAATGCCTGTAGTTCCAGCTACTTGGAAGACTGAGGAGAAGGGATCGTCTGAGCCCAGGTGGAAGGATCACCAGAGCCCAAGAGGTAGAGGCTGTGGTGAGCCATGATCGTGCCACTGCACTCCAGCCTGGGCAACAGAGTAAGACTCCGACTCAAAAAAAAAGGAACGAGGGAAACTGAGGCTACAACTATTAACAGTAATTGTTCCTCCATATTGGCATTTGCTGTGTGCCAGGCACAGTGCTGAGTGCTACCCACGGCTGTATTAGTGTCCTGTTGCTGCTGTAACAAATTGTCCCAAATGTAGCAGTGTAAAATGATGCAAGCATATTTTCTGGAGGTCAGCAGTGTGAAATAGGTTTCCGTGGGCTCCAATCAAGGTGTGTCAGCAGGGCTGCCTCCCTTCTGGAGGCCTTAGGGGGGACTCTGTCTCCTTGCCTTTTCCGGCTTTTTGAGGTCGCCGCACGCCTCGGTGTGTGGCCACATCTCACCTCCAAAGCCAGCAGCCTGGCTACCTCACGTCTCTCGCGTCTGTCCGCCTCTTCCACCTTGAAGGACCCTTGGCACAACACTGGCCTACCCGATGACGGAGGAAGCTCTCCCTGTCTCGAGGCTGGTTGGCAACGCTCATTCCACCTGCAGCCTCAACTCCCCTTTGCCCTGCGATCGGGGACCAGACGGGACACCTTTTGGGGCCATGTTTCTGCCTGCCTCACTAGCCACAACCTCCTTGAATCTCACAGCCTCACTGGGAGACAGATTCTCATGGTCATTCGATATTCACTCATTTATTATTATTTTTGAGTCAGGGCCTCACTCTGTTGCCCAAGCTGGAGTGCAGTGGCACAATCACGGCTCACTGCGGCCTCGACCTCCTGGGCATAAGTGATCCCTCCTTCTGCCTCAGCCTCCCAAGTAGCTAGGACTATAGGCATGCCCCACCATGCTCAGCTGATTTGTTAACTTTTTGTAGAGATGTGGTTTTGCTATATTGCCCAGGCTGGTTTTTAACTCCTGGGCCCAAGTGATCTATCCTTCTACCTCAGCCTCCCAAGTAGCTAGGACTACAGGCATGCGCCATCATGCTCAGCTGATTTTTTAACTTTTTTTTAGAGATGAGGTCTCGCTATATTGCTCAGACTGGTCTTGAACTCCTGGACTCAGACAATTCTCCTTCCTCAGCCTCCAAAAGTGCTGGGGTTACAGGCATGAGCCACAGTGCCTGGCACTAAAGGCCATTTTAAATAGGAAAAAACCAGCCAGGCTCGGTGGCTCAGCCTGTAATCCCGCGCCTTTGGGAGGCTGAGGTGAGTGGATTGACTGAGCCCACAGGTTCGAGACCCGCCTGGGCAGCGAGACCTCATCTCTACAATTAATAAAAAAAAATCAGCCGGGCGTGGTAGCGCACGCCTGTAGTTCCGGCTACTCGGAAGGCTGAGGCGGAAGGATCGCCGGAGCCCAGCAGGTCAAGGTGGCGGTGGCCGGGAGCGGCCACTGCACTCCAGTCTGGGCAACAGAGTGAGACACCAACTAAAAAAATAATAATAATAACCAAAAAAAAGAAAGAAAAACCAGGTCAGAAGGGTTAAGTGACTTCCCACAGTAAGTGGCTGTGCTGGCCCTCCGGGGGCCTCTGTGTCCTCTTTCAGCTGAGAGGATGGTGCCGGGGACAGGCTCTGTTGCACTGGATTGGTACCACCCTCATCCTGAATCAAGGATGAAGGCACAGCAGAAATCTCTGGGGTCACTGTCAACACTAGACACGCCCTGAGTCAATCCAGGCCAGGAAGGGCTTGGTGTGTCACCTGGCCCAGCCCTCTTGGGAAACCCAGCCAGATGTGTGACTTGCCTGTGGTCACCAGGACACTGGTAGCAGGAGGGGAAGCAGGGCCCACCCCACTGACCCCAATGAGGGCCTTTCTGGGACCCCCTTCTCAAGAATAGGGAGAAGCTGGGTGCGGTGGCTCACACCTGCAATCCCAGTGCTTCGGGAGGCCAAGGGAGGATCACTTGAGCCCAGGAGTTTGAGACCAGGCTGGGCAGCATAGCGAGACACTTTAGATAGATAGATCAATAGAGATAGAGAGAAAGGAGAGGGAGGGAAGGAGGGAAAGAGAAAAAAGAGAAAGAAGGGAAAAACAGGGAGGGTGAGAGAGTCAAGTACTGGTCTTGTGGAAATCACTTCACCTCTCAAGCCTCAGTTTCCCCATATTCATGAGGAATTTGAAACTTCAAAGTGAGCTGCTGGGGAAGAGCTCTGTGAACAGCCGGTCGCGCCACACGTGTGAGCGGCAGGCACGGTGACACCTTTTCTGCAGGCGGACGACGTGTCCCTTGTTCCTGACACCCCGTTGCATCTCAAGAATCTGCCGATGGGGCTTCCCCCGTCCTACCAGGCTGTGGTTCAAGGCGACACCAAGTGAGCAGGACTGGAGGCGACGGGGCTCGGCCCAGGACCCCGGCCACCAGAGCTCACCAACCACCCCTTCTCCCAGCCCAGAGAGGAACCCTTTCCCCAGGGTGGGGGGGGGGAAAGGGCAGCGTCGCTGCGACTGGAGCCATCTGCCTGGAAGCGGTGCCCTGCCAGGGGTGGGCCCAGCCCCTTCGGGCACCAGAGGAGCTTCCAGGGTCCCCCAGGGACATCCGACTGGGTTGACCAGAACCGCCTCAGCTGCCACTGGTGCCACAGGCCCCGCCCGCCCTTCCTGCAGGCCGCTGGAGCAGACTCCTGAGCCAAAAGCAGCCCCCACATCCTCCGGCCTCCCTCCGACCCATAGTGGAGGCACAGGGGTTTGTGAGGGGAGCCAGAGGAGACGTGGCCTTCCCTTGCCTCGAACTGCCAAGAGGTCTCTGGGGAAACTTGTGTGTCTGAACCCCTGGATGTCGGGAGGCGGTGAAGCAGGGCAGTTGAGTCGAATAAAAACTGTGTCCACGTCTTCCCTCCAAGGCGCGAGTGGTCTTTTTGCCTCCCTGGGCCTCAGGGTCTCCATCTGTAAAATGGGTTGGGTAGGTGGGGCGTGACGTGATCTAGGAGCCTCCCAGCTTGAAAGCTCGGAAATCAGGAGTTGAATTCAAGGTTCTGGTTGTGATGTCTGAGGCTGAAGCATCAGCCTCCAAATTCCAGCCCTACTTGTGCTGAGAAAATCAGGTGAGGGAGAGACACCTGCCTTCCTGTTACCATATTGAGTTGTCTAAGGACATTGTTTTCCTTTTTTGAGTTGGAGTCTCACTCTGTCGCCCAGGCTGGAGTGCAGTGGTACGCTCCCGGCCACCGCAGCGTCGAGCTGCTGGGCTCCGGCCATCCTTCCGCCTCAGCCTTCCAAGTAGCTGGAACTACAGGTGCGCACTACCATGACTGTCTATTTTTAAAAATTTTTTAATTTTTTTATTGTAGAGACAAGGTCTCGCCAAGTTGCCCAGGCTGGTCTCGAATCCACGGGCTCAGGCAATCCATTCGCCTCGGCCTCCCAAAGTGCTGGGATTACAGGCTGAGCCACCAAACCCAGCCGACTTTTTTAACTCATGATTTTTGCTTATTTGTTGTCTGTTTTGCAATCGTTCTGTTTCTTTACATTGATTCTTCTTTCTACATATATTTTTGTGTCAGTGTCTCACACTGTCTCCCAGGCTGGAGGGCAGTGGCATGATCCTGGGCTTAGGCGATCCTTCCGCCTCAGCCTCCTGAGTAGCTGGGACTACAGGCATGTGCCACCACACCTGGCTAATTTTTTAAGATTTTTATGCAGATGAAGTCTCGCTATATTGCCTGGGCTGGGGAAAGCCATCTTGGATGACTATTGATGTTGCAGTTAAATTTTAGTCAACATTTGATATACATTCAGCCCTAAAACTAAGCCTAATATTATTTTTACCCGTTATGAAAGAATTCAAACATACAGAAAAGTTAAGAGAATAGTACAGGCTGAGTACAGTGGCTCATGCCTATAATCCCAGCACTTTGGGAGGCTGAGGCAGGAAGATCACTTGAGGCTGGGAGTTCAAGACCAGCCTGGTCAACATAGTGAGGCCCTGTCTCTACCGAAAAAAAAAAATATATATATATATAATATATATAAAATATATAGTAGAGAGAAAGAGAGAGAATACCTCCATGATATTAAATGAGTGCTAACATTTTGCATGTTTGCTTTTTTTATGTCTTTCTATATATGTATGTATATGTGTGGTATGTATGTAGTATGTGTACTCATATGCGCACACACGTATGCATACATATTCACATATACACTTTTGTGCTGAACCATTTGAAAGTAAGTTGCAGACATCATGACCTTCCATCTCTAAACTCTTCCATCTGCATTGTTTCCTAAGAATACGGACATTCTCTACATAATCAGGATCGATCCTATCATCCAACTAAGAAAGTTAAAAATAATTCCGTGATTCTAATATCCTGTCCATATCCAATTCCCCCCCAAAAACGTGGACCAAAAATGTCTGTCTGGTGATTTATTGTTAACCTGAATCTAGTCACGTTTCATACACTGCATTTGATGGTTACATCACTTTCTTTTATTTTAGTCCAGATCACTCCTCTCCCTCTTTTCATGGCATGCCCTTTGGAGACCAGCTGTCGTGTGGCACGTCTGACGGTTTCCATCTGCTCCTTCACGCTCCCTCTTGCCTGTAGCCTGGCCATAATTCCCTGTGCTCTTGGGGCTTGAGGTGACGCAGTAAGCACCGGGGTGAACTTCCAGAGGCAACTCTGTGGGCTCCCTCCTGCATCCCATTTGGGGTTCCCAAGGCTGGCTGGTCCCCCGATTATCTTTCTTTCTTTGAGTCAGGGTCTCACTGTGACACCCAGGCTAGAGTGCAGTGGCATGATCACGATTCACCACAGCCTCGACCTCCAAGGCTCAGGTGATCCTTCTGCCTCAGTCTCTCGAGTAGCTGGGAATACGGGTGTGCACCCCCACGCCCAGCTAATTTTTAAACTTTTTGTAGGGACAGGGTGTTGGACCCAGGCTGGTCTCAAACTCCGGGGCTCGGCTGGGCACGGTAGCTCACGCCTATAATCCCGGCACTTTAGGAGGCCGAGGTGAGAGGATTACCTGAGCCCTCAGGTTCGAGAACAGCCTGGGCAACTTGGCAAGGCCTCATATCTACAATACATCAAAAAATAAGCTGGGCATGGTGGCGTGCGCCTATAACCAACTAACTACTTGGAAGGCTGAGGCAGAAGGATCGTCTGACCCCAGCAGGTCGAGGCTGTGGTGGCCAGGAACGGGCCACTGCCCTCCAGCCTGGGTGCCAGAGTGAGAATTTTTCTATTGTATACAAGGGGGGAACCCCCCAAACCCAGAATTTATTCATTAAAAATTATATATTTATTCTTACATATTTAAACTTCAGTCACCTTCAAAGTGCTTTCTGAGTCGAGTGCAGTGGCTCAAGCCTGTAATCCCAGCACTTTGGAAGGCGGAGGTGAGAGAATTGCCTGAGCCTACGAGTCCAAGACCAGCCTGGGCAACAAGCCAAGCCCTTGTCTCTGAAGTAATTCAAAAAATTAACTGGAAGTGGTGGCGCACACCTATGATTCCAGCTACTTGGAAGGCTGAAGCGGAAGGATCCCCTGAGCCCAGCAGGCCGAGGCTGTGGCAGCCGTGAGGGTGTGCCTGGCCAAGCCCAGGAGTTTGAGACCAGCCTGGGTGCAAGACCTTGTCCCTACAAAAAATTTAAAAATCAGCTGGGTGTGGGAGCGCACCTGTAGTTCCAACTACTCAGAAGGGTGAGGCGGAAAGATCGCCAGAGCCCAGCAGGTTGAGGCTGTGCTGACCAGGAGTGGGCCACTGCCCTCCAACCTGGGCGACAGAGTGAGACTCAGACTCAAAAACAAAAACAAAAACAAAAAAAAACTCCTGGACTCAAGCAAACCTTCCACCTTGGGCTTCCAAAGTGCTGGGATTACAGGCGTGAGCTACAGCACCCAGTCCAAATAGGAAAATTTTGAAATGTATCTTTCCATAATATATGAACATAGAAGAGGACACTCAAAAATCCCAGCTACTCGGGAGACTGAGGCAAAAGGATCACCTGAGCCTCGAAGGTCGAGGCTGTGGTGAGTCATGATCATGCCACTGCACTCTAGCCTGGGTGTCACAGTGAGACCCTGACTCAAAGATAAAAGATAATTGAGGGACCAGCCAGCCTCAGGAACCCCAAATGGGATGCAGGAGGGAACCCACAGAGTCGCCTCTGGACGTTTCTTTCCTCTTACGTAGAGCCTTTCTTTGTCCTCGACCATGTAAAATGCAGTCACTGGAAACATTTCTGGAGGGGTCAACGATGGCAAAGCCTACGGCAATGAACACGGAATTCACAAGTCTATAGTTTGGGGCCATAGAACCAGTGACCGACAGGTTCCTGGCCAGCTCTGGCACTCGAGGCGTCTCCAATGACTCTCTACAATGAGTCAAAGGAAGGAAGATGTCACGGCCAACACCTGGCCTCAGGATGCTCTAGCTTAGAAATGTCGGTTCCATGGCTTCGAGGCAAATGAACCAAAGGACTCACGTGTCTGGGTCACCAATGAAAGGACTTTTCCGCACCCTAGTGAAGGCGCTGCAGGGTTAGCCCTAAGCCAAGGGAGGGATGAGCCTTGTGGGCAGTGGGCACACACAGGAGCCATGTGCCCCTCGTTTAGGTCTGGGGAAGAGCAGTTCTCAGGCATGGAGAGAGTACCTGGGGCCGGGGCACAGTGACTCACACCTGTCAACCCAGCACTTTGGGAGGCAGAGGCGAGAGGATTGCCTGAGTCCACAGGTTCGAGACCAGCCTGGGCAACTTGGCGAGACCGCATCTCTACAATAGATCAAAAAATTAGCTAAACATGATGGTACGTGTCTGCAGTTCCAGCTACTAGGGAGGCTGAGGCGGAAGGATCGCCTGAGCCCAGCATGTTGAGGCGTGGTAGCGTGGTCATGCCACTACACTCCAGCCTGGGTGACGGAATGAGATTCTCCCTTCCCTCAAAAAAGGCACCTGGGACTAAGAACTTTCTCCACTATGCACTTCGGAACTCAGGGGAACACTTAACTCTTTTGATGGGCAGCACAGTTGGTTCCATGTTCTTGCTATTGTGAACAATGCTGCAATAAACATACGTGTGCAGGTATATTTTAAATAGAGTGATTTGAGTTCCTTCAGGCATATTCCCAGTATGGGGATTGCAGGGTTGTATGGAAGGTCAGCTTTCCAACTCCTATTGTTGCCGGGTGGAAGGCAGTGTGATGCTCCATGGGTACTTTTGACTCACCATAGAAGAGAATTTCAGAGGGAGTCCAAGTATACTTTAAGACAATTTATTAGAGAGAGAAGGATTCACAGTCTCACTCTATCACCTAGGCTGGAGAGCAGTGTTACCATCACAGCTCACCAACCTCGAACTCCTGGACTCAAGGGATCCTTCCTCCTCTGTTTTGTCATCTATAAAATGGGAGTGGCAATCCAATCCTACCCGCCTCCCCCACACACACAGAGGATGCCTCCCAAAGTGGGAGTCACTGTGGGGACATCACTTGGGAATGCAAGCACCATCAAGGCATGTGTAGAGGGAGGTTTTTCTTTTTCAATCTCTTGGATTTCTTAAATGAGAAAGTCTCAGTCTGGGACCACTGTATCTTCAACACCTCTTAACACATGATCGCCTCTCTTTGTGCCAAGACAGCAAGCCCAGTGTGCAGCAGACACGGCATCGAGCCAGAACCACACA